TACATGTAAAAAAGATTTAAAATATTGGAAGCCTTCATAATAACAACGAAAAAGCCAACACTTAATAATATTAATTACGAACACGACCACAATGTGCTGTGTTCGGAAAATAAAACATCTCTATAACACTGAAAACATACACAAAACGCAGAAACCTAATTAAACTGAAAAAAATAAAATCACCTTTGATAATGGCTAAAAGAATAGCCGAAAGCGCTCGGAATTACAGGACATTTGGACAGTTTCTATACACTGTGTGTCCCCAAAAAAGAAACACATGTCCGAACACAACAAAAATAAAAAGCTTAATCGTAGCACCTTGTCTGTCGTTGTTAATGAAACACACACACATACACAGAAACACACATACACACACAGATACACACACACGCATATATATATATATATATATATATATATATATTTGTATATTTAGGCAGCAATCCTTCCTTTATGCATGTTTCATTAAAAACGACAGACAAGGTACTACAGTTGAGCTTTTTATTTAATTTTTCTTGTGTTCTGACAAGAGCTTTCTTTTCTGGACAAAGAGTGTGTAAGAACTGTCCGAATGTTCTGTGTTTCCGAGCGCTTTCGGCTATACCTTTTAGCCATTATCAGGATGGTTCAATTATCAGCTTAGTAGAGTGTGTGTTCTATGTATGTTCAGTGTGTGGTAGTGATGTTTTAGTTTCCGAATACGGTTAGCACATTGTGGCTTTGTTCATAGTTGATATTGTTAAGAGTTGGCTTTTTCTTTTTTATTATTAGAGCTTCCATTATTTTTAGTCTTTTTTTGCAAGTGGATGCAGTTAATATATTAGTGTTTTCTACTAGTATGTTCCTAATAGTGTCGGGTAAATCTGAGTGTGTGTTTAAATGTGTTCTGATGGAACTGTGATCAGATAGGTGTAATGTAAAACAGAAAAGAAAGCTCTTGTCAGAACACAAGAAAAATTAAATAAAAAGCTCAACTGTAGTACCTTGTCTGTCGTTTTTAATGAAACATGCATATATATATATATATATATATATATATATATATATATATATATATATGAAGAACTTGGTAATCCGTATGGGTAATCCGAAGGAGGATGAATTCCTGAGAGCTCAATGTAAATCCAGATCTAATATTTTAAGAAAAACAGACCATTTTTAAGGTACCATTATAATAATTTATTTCACCAGAGCCCTTTTAAAGGACGCCAGATCATCAGATAGCACTTCCAAAAACTGGTGAAATAAATTATTATAATGGTACCTTTAAAGTGGTCTTTTTTTTTTTTAAAAAAATATATATATATATATATATATATATATATATATATATATATATATATATGAATTGGAGTCAGTACAAATCAAACATCGATTGAATCTGACAGAATGATAAGATAAAGAACAACTAGGAAACATTTATCAATCCAACATGCCTTACTTCTAATAAAGCTTCATCAGTGAATGAGATATGTAGAAGTAGAAATAAGAAATTCTTCTGTTTATTGTTGTTGTTTTTTCTTAATTTCCACTGAATAATCATGTTTCACGTACATTCGGCTTGTTAAACAAACGTTAGTATAATTTATGGCGTTCCGAAGGTGAGACGACGCGTATCTTCGAAGCTCCAAGAAATTAATGGATTCCTAAACTGAAAAACCATAAATATCCTCTTTAAAAAGAATGTCTATCTAAAACAAACGGTATCTACGTAAAAACGTTCCCAAGTCAAAATGCGGAAAACTAGCAAACATAATATCTACTAAAGATATATACACAGACACACACACACACACATACTTATGAATACACATTATCATCTGAATCCCATATAGACAAATTAGAATTATTATGCAATTACATACAAAAAGTATTATTTACGGTTTTTCAGTTGGGCTTGGTATCCGTTAATTTTTGGAGCTTCGAAGGGACGTATCGTCTCTCCTTAAATTTGGAACACTATAAATTATAGCAACGATTGTTTAACAAGTCGAATTCATGTGAAATTTGTTTAACCAATGAAAATCAAACGACATAAAAAATACCAGAATTTCTTTTTCTCCCTATCTCATTTTCAGAAGAAGATTTAATAAAACTGAAACATATTAGATTGATAAATGTTTCCTGTTTGTTCTTTATCTTTATATATATATATATATATATATATATATATATATATGTATCTTCACTGAATTTAGCGTTCAGAATGTTTCTCACACATAACTGAATATTATCTGTTACTTATTTACACGTATCTCACCAATAGGAAATAGAGAAACACAACATGCAAGTAATCCATGTCTCTTTGATTTTTTCAAATTTTTATCATATCTATCTTGATCTATGACGAAGCTTTGATAAAGTGAAACCAGTTAGATTGAGATCTGTTTCCTACTTGTTCTTTATCCTATCATTTTGTCGGATTCCTCTTCATACTTGACACACACACACACACACACACACACACACACACACACACACACACACACATATATATATATATATATATATATATATATATATATATATATATATGACTCATTCCATCGATAAAACCATTATTAATGCGAAAAAGTTACTTCTCGAAACCCGTTACTTAGGATTTGCCCAGTTTGTCATCCGCTTCCCGCTATTAGAAACTGATATATAGATTTTATAACACACACACACACACACATATATATATATATATATATATATATATATATATATATATATATATATATATATATATATATTGAGTTGGGTTGGGTTAGTTGATTTTACGATATGTTAACCCAGTTATCGTCAACGTGGGCGGTAATGCCACCTTGGGGCAGTATAAACTCTCAAGAGAACCGTAATTCTTCAGGAGTGTGATGGCGGGATGTTTCAGTTTAAAAAGACCAGTAACATAATTTAGATCTATGAACCCTGACTGGATCAAGTCACTGCATTTTATATACGCATTTGTTTAAATCTTTTTTGTCTGTATATATATTCAGTTTTGTTGAATTTGTTTTTGTTTTTTGTTGTTGTTTTTTTTTTATATTTTTTTAAGATTTAGTTGCAATTCAAATATGTGTATGGAGCAAAAAGCTGCAAATTATATTCCGATAGCTTTCATGGTTTGACCCGTTGAAGACCGCTTAGACGTCTCCACCTCAGCTTACTTCCGGTTATTTGTGCTGCTTTGAATGCAATAAAATATAGACAGATAAACATTAACACTGTTGTATTAACCTATCTTCCTTTAACAGAATAAGTTTAATACCGGGTGGGTGGTTCTTAAATATCGGATAAGAGGACAATGGCGAACATAAGATTAAAAACGACTATGTCAGATTTAGGCTGTTAAAACGTAATCTCTCTGTCCAATAGGTGTTCACAATTTTTGCAATTTTCACAATGTTGTCTTCATGCTTCGCATTTTTCAGTTCACTCTCTAGTTGAATATATTTCTACAGAACCTTTTATTTCACTCATGATAAATAACTTCTCCTATATTCCATGTCTCTTCAGGACGTGGTTGATCAGGCTCTCCATGATTTCCTATCTTTTGTATATCTTAGTAATATTTATCTTTTTATTATCCCTTCCAATCTCTGTCTTGCCACCCATTTACACAAGTTGGGGAGGTTAGTCTATGTTTCGCTTTCTTCTTCCTGCCTTAAATTTCCTTTGTGTTAAATTTTCCAATCTTTCTTTTCTCATTATGTGTCTTAGAGATTTCAACCGTCTGTAAGCATTCCTTTTTGTTTTCATTTTCCTTTAAACACCATATTTTTTTTACTATGCACCGACCATAGTATTCTCAGCATCCTTCTGTAGAATCACGTTTCTTTTGCCTGGTCTCCTCTTCATCTGTGAGAAAATTGCTCAGCATTCATTTTCATAAACAAAGACTGATATTGCATGAGAACACAAGTACATAATACATTTAACAAGAGAACGGCGGATAACATACTCTTTTGTGTTGTCTGCTGTAATGTTTAAAACTAAACAGGTGTGTATCTACTTTCGTTTTCTTTTCTTGGGGTCCGAATAATATTAAATCTATTCTATGCAGATGATATATGACTAGAAAAAACACGGGGTGAATGAGTTACAAATATTTTTAACTGCTATTTTCTTTTTATAATGCCAAAGAAATAAGTCTTCAATTAAACCTCAAGAATAATATAAGATAATAATATAAGATAATAACAGACAAAGCACATCAACAATTTAACATCGAAATAAACGGGGGTGGGTAAATGATTTTGAATGTCTTGACCACAAGCAATCACACAATGATTGATTGGTTGGTTTTCTACGGTTTATCAACCTTTTGCAGGTTATTTAAAGCCAGAAAATATATTTAGATTTTAATAGTAAATTGTTTGAATTTCTTAGATCGGTCATTTTTTTTCTTTCGCCTTACATTTTTAATAAATTCATCCTAAGCAAGGCGATAATATCCCTAAGACGCAAAGGGCTACTAGGAGTGAAAGAGAATGAAAAAAACTCTAGAAGCAACCGGAAAGGCAACCCTAAACAGGAAACAAGAGATAAACCTCTACTCCTGTTCAAAAGAAGTCAGAACCGGGCGATAGACGGACCTATATATTCCTATAACGTTTTATTACATTCTGCAGACGTTATGAAGACAGCATAAATAAGACATAAAGACTTAATGTCTTAAACACTATTGATTCTATAGGTTGTCTTAATTTATTAAACTGGCTGAATACTTGTGCTACCGACAGACTGATTGATTCGTTTTTGACGGTTTGTCAACCTTTGCAGGCTATTTAAAGCCAGAAAATATTTTTAGATTTTAAGATTTTTTTTTAGATAATAATGGTTTAGTCATACAAATATAACATATTAACACATAGCTGGGGACAGAAGAGGCGGATTCTTACCTTTGGCAGATTCTTACCTTCTAATATTTGCTAGAAAAAGAATACAACAGCAATTGGAGCTCGGCTATCCGATTCACAATTCTGAGCCCTTATACATCAACCGTGCGTACAATCTTACAACACCTGGTATCCTCAAGCGGTCACTCACCTAGGTACTGACCAGGTTCGGCGCTGCTTAACTTCGGTAATCGTATGGAAACCGGTTTTCCAATGTGATGGGGCCATATTTCCTATCGCACAAGAACGACCAAGTTTCAGCTGGGCTGCTTTTGAAAAACATAAGCGAGAAATTTCAGCAGTAAATTGAAACATTCCAAAACGACGTTATGTCCATCATTACAGAATGCAATCGTCCTGGGTAATACGATAAACTACATCCGTGTCCTGGGTAAGACGATAAACTATGTCCAACAGCAATGCCTCTGATCAGAAGGTTTTGAGGAACGTGGAACCACCTCTTAATTGCTGGTGTTCCCAGGTCCACCTTAACCCTGGGTGGTAGCATCTGTTAGGGTCACAGCTATGGGCAAATAGTTAACACTCATATTACATTCGCATCCTGGGTATGACGATAAACTACATCCGTGTCCTGGGTATGACAATAAACTACATCCGCGTACTGGGTAAGACGATAAACAGCAAGGCCTCTGATAATACGTTTTTGAAAAAATAATGTTGCCAGCTGTATGTTTTTGAAAGAAAGAAAAAATAATAATTTAACAACTATACGTTCTTGAAAAAAAAAATGATAATAGCTATACGTTTTTGAAAAAATAATATTACCAGCTATACGTTTTTTGAATAAATAATATTACCAGCTATACGTTTTTGAAAAAATAATATTACCAGCTATATGTTTTTTGAATAAATAATAATACCAGCTATACGTTTTTTGAATAAATAATATTACCAGCTATACGTTTTTGAAAAAATAATATTACCAGCTATACATATTTGAAAAAAAAATATTAACAGAAATAGATTTTTGACAAAACAAAAATATTACCTGGAGAAAAAAAAAGGTGTCGGCATTAAATGACCCATTGAGGTGTTGATATGCCGTGAAACAAAACAAGCAAACACACAAACAGAATGCAAGCTGATAGACACCGTGAAAATAATCACTGTTAGAAATGTAACCTGCGCTCTTCACTACGGATCTGTAGTAAATCCTTGAATCTATTTGGTCATATTAAGAAAATCTACTACATTGAGCGCTAAATTGTATCTAGAAAGTATGGTGCCTGGAAAAAGAGATAGAGGAAAACCAAAACAGTGTTGATGGAAATAACATTATTCCGTGATCACCAAATAATGAGTAGCAACGCTAAGTAAGCTAGATGAAGGTCGTAATAAATGGCGGGAAATTTAGTCATGTTGTTTGTCAGCTTGTCGCAGCTGGAAAGAGCGACTAAGTATCATTTCAAAATGTCTTTATAATCTTGATTATATACGACCTACAATTGCGTCGATGTATTATTATTTATTCTTAACCATTTACAGCGCTATTTCACATGGTTTTAAATATTTCATATGGTATAGATTGTGAGACATGGACTCCAAAACATTCAGCTCAAATTCAAAGATTCTAAAACCATATGATATGCATTATCACAGATCAAAAGATGATAGCGAAGTGAAAATAAACACTCTTAGAAATGTAACCAATTTCCCTACCTTTTCGATACCATACGTAGCAAATCCTTGAAACTATTAGTACACATTAAAAATCTAGTGCAGGACTCGCTAAAATGTGCCTTCAGGGTATGGTAATTGGAGAAAAATGTAGAGGAAGACCCCAAAACTGGTGGGTGGATAACATAATCCTGTGGTGACCAACTAATGTAGCAGACACTAAATAAACTTGCTCAAGATCATAATTAATTACGGAAAATACGTCATGTTAATTGGCAGATTACAGAAGCTGGAAAGAACGACTAAATATTATTTTATATTGTATTTAATAGTTTACAAGACAAATTATGAGTTTGGTCTATCTCTTGTGATTGCAAGAAGGCTTTTGTAATAAAACCCAAATATATGAAGGGTAATTTATACATATTTCGTTCTTGAGAATTCACAACAAAAATATTAATTACTATTTATTTATTAGATTGTTTATTTACAAGAATATTTTATATTTATAACATTCTAAAACTATTATAATTGACTAAATCTAATGCAATATTCGTCATTTACCAATTCATCAAAAATTAAATATGAAAACAATTTTTTATTAAAAAATTTATAAACATTTACTAAAGTATTAAAATATGTGAATCACTTATAAGGAAATCTTTAATATTTACCATTTTATAAAGCCCGAATCAATTGGTAATTAGCCAATTTTTTTCAACCATTCCAATAAACAATCTAATAAATAAATAGTGTTTTGATTTTTGTTGCAAATTTTCAATAACGAAGAAAATGTATAAATTCACTTTCATATGTCTAGGTTTTTTACAATTCTAATTATCGCTTTTTAAAGCAATAAATATTGCTGAGGAGTGAAGCTAGTTAAAATAATAGCGGTGTCAATGGAAAATCGTTCTTTTGACACTCTGTTGTCTGTGGGCAGGAAGCTTCAAGTTTGCTTAATTTTCATTGTGTTTTATGGTTAATGTAAAGGATGATTCCATAGCTATCAAGTCTAGTCTAATGGCCACATCCTCGGTTGAGACCAGTAACAACTAATATCTCACAAATTGTTTCTTCCTAAAAAAAATGGAGTATTACTGCTATATTTGAGCTGGAGGTGCTGAATGCTATATTTTCAGCCTTGGAAAAGTGTGTCCGTGGCCCTGTGGGTGATGAATGATGTACCAAACTACAACCCCACTTCCGCAGGCGCAAAGTCGCAAGTCTATTGCTATTTCTACAGAAAATATTTTGATCAACTACATCCCTTAGTTCCACCAGTGCAAACATTTACGACCAAAACCCACCATATCATATATACACAGAGGTGAAACATCTTCATTTCATTCATCCAAATTCAAATCCAAATCCTGGACCTTTTTTCAATCCTTCTGAAGGAATATCTCCGGATTGACCATGTCTTTTAATGGTGTACCCGTATTCATTACCCTTCCCCCAACTGCGGGTAGGTGAGGCAATTTAAAACATAAATAGGTTAATAGCCGTTAACTCTGAAGATTTTTACCTCCCTTTAACAGTTTTAATGCTGTTGGGGTCTGCTGGGGCATCTGGTTTAGTTAGAGACTACTAGACCAATCGGGGTTTTTAATTCGGATTTCTTGTTCTCCTAGTCCGGTTGCCAGCCAAGGCTATAGGACCAAGCCTGCCCTGCTATTTACACATAGCTGGGGGAGAATAGATTTATAACTTTCTCAAGGGAATTTACACGAAATTGAATTTAACGAACTCGACTGGAATTTTGCAATATATTCCATTTTTATTCCATCATTAAAGAGAAGTTCCATTCGAACAACTTCTTCGTAAAAACCTCTGCTTTGTAAAATAGAGACACGTGAGTATTTTCAAGTAAGACGCAGTTCTATTCTCGTCGGGGATTTGGTTTTATATTAATATGCAACAAGAAAATTAGTGTCGTCACAGAACGAAATGTCGAATTTTTCTTGACCGCAAGAAACTTAATATTACCAAAGCGTTGTATCTTTACTGGATGCTTTAAGTAGACGCTCTTGAATAAAAAAAAAACTGTGAATTGCTTCTACCCGTCTGCGATTTCGAGAAGTCCTCCTGCAGAGTTCAAACTTAAATTTCCTTTGTAGGAGAAACTACAGTCTGCTCTAGCGTGCTTTAGTCAGCTCGACCACAGAAATCTTCACAAGCAAGTTTCAATTTCCTTTTTATAGTTCTGCTATAAATCTGCTCGAAAGACCATATCTGTTGACTTTTTTATATTTCGTAACAGAAATCCATAGAAAATAATTTCCAATGAATGAATTGACGTTTTTTTTAATTTTTAATCCAACTTTATTTCTTTTCACCCCAAACATTATTATATATATATATATATATATATATATATATATATATATAGTGTAACCCGGATATAAGAGAGTTATCGAGACCGGAGAAGAAGTCTCTTATATCTGGGTTTCTCTTATATCCGGGTTTGGTCTATTTTATATACATTAACACAGGCTCTAATTTGGAACCAGAGAAATTCTCTCTTATATCCGGGTCTCTTATATCCGGGTTACACTATATATATATATATATATATATATATATATATATATATATATAATGGAGTCTTAATAAAATATGACATTTTGAGTAATAACAGACTTAATTTACACTGCTAGTGTTTTAAATTTGTATGTCAGTAATAATGAAAAATGAGATTTTTCAAGTAATTTTCAAGTAATTTTGCAAGTAATTTTGCAACATTTTTGAATTTCGTGAATTCTAACACAATTACTGTATGAACAGAAAACAAGAAACAAAAAGGTATATGCAACTTGAAAAATGATTGGCTACAATAAACGCATTTGTTTGCGTAAGTGGCTGACTAAGTCCGGTGGCCATTGTCGTTTCTCAGGGAGTCATTCGATCTGGCGCAGATGGCCGCGAACGATCGTCTTCCCTTCCCTTAAAAAGAGGGTACAGTTTCCGGCAAGTGTGATGAGATAGCTGTGTGAACGATACGAGTTGGCCAACAGATGACCCAAATAAGAACAGTGACAGAAGTGTTGAAATGTATAGCCAATTGAATTTCCTTACATCATGTTTCTCTTTATTTATGAGACTTTTGGATCTGTTTTTACGCTCATATGAATGACTACGTGTCATAAGATATCGCGTGTGTATGTATGCGTGTGTATGTGTATCTCTCTGTGTGTGTGTGTGTGTGTGTGTGTGTGTGTGTGTGTGTGTGTGTGTGTGTGTGTGTGACAGACAGACAGACAGACAGGCAAACAGAGAAAAAAGAGAAGACAGAGAAAGTAAAGTTAAAAATGTAAGGTTTTACTATGCCTACCTTAGTCAGGCAAAATGCCAAATGTCGAAACGTGACTGTAGCAAATTCGTACGATTCCATATGAGGGAAAGGTTTATTTACCTGAATGTGCGCGTAAGGTAACGGTTCTTCAGGATGTAGGCGATCGTGGCTCTCCACAATTTCCTGTTCTTTGTAGTTCTTAATAAATTTTATCTTTTTATTATTTCTCTTAACCCTTGTTCCACCATCCATTGACTTAAGCTCATTCTTCTAAGTGCCTTGTTCCT